GTCATAATCATGTCTTGTGGTTATTTGACAGGAGTTTTACTTTTAAACTGTAAGTGTATTTAATTTAGTTATAATGTAAATACAACACAAATTAAACCAAAATTTAGAATAACTATCATTTTGATCCATACATTAGTAATGTCTGACTGGGCCTCGTGCCACTTTGTGTTCAACAACTTGGGCCCCGAGGTCAAAAAGGTTAAGAACCCCTGGTCCTGATCCTATTCCATGAACAACTGGATGGATTTTTTTAATAGCAACGAGTCAGTCAATTTTACAAAGCTTGAGCTATTTTTATGTGGTAGTCACTGAAAGTCAATCACAACATATAATCTGAGCAAAACATCTCTCAATATTCCTTGCATTTGTCATCATAAGATAGCCTAAAACTTTGGCATTAAAAGAAATAGGCGAAATGCAACTTTATTTGTACGTGTTTGTAATTTTTCACTCTGTAGAATATACTATGAGATTTAAAGCAGTTTTGGGACATGCTGAAACTACAAAAAAATCCTTGTAAAGTGTTTCCTCTCATGTGACAATAAAAAATTGAGAAATTAACAGTTTGGCAGCTGACGGAGCACAAAGGTGCAGTGGATAAACAGGGAAAATGAAATTGGGCCATAGAAACAGGCACTTTGATAAATGAAATCAAAGAATGTGGAAAACGAATAAAAAGGCTAGAGAACAGGGAAGAGAGAGAGAAAAGGGGGGATCTGACTTGTCAGGAACAGTGCTATTAATACTTCATAACCAGCAGTATTGAAAATTCCCAGTGAAGCGCAGCGAGGGCGCACTCATTTTGTTTGATGAGGCAAGGCTTCATGCAGACGCACTGAAAGAAGAGCCTGATTGCGCGCCCCGCCACCTTTTCTTCTAACRAGACACCTACAAGGAGGGACGACAAGAATCGGCCGAGAACAAAGGAACCGCCGGCGAGAAAATTATCCCAGATCCTTCTGAAACACCTCCCGTCATCTGTGCATCCAGCAGGCAGCAATTTGTTCACAGAATGGATCAGGTTTGCACTGAAAGTTATTTACATAAAGAAAAGATCAATTCCAGGCAACAACAAAAAAAAGTGAAGTGTTCAGATGAAGAAACACTGGTTGGCCAATAATCATGTCACTACAGAGAAACACAAACACCATGACAAAAACAAATACAGGCAGATATCAGCTTTTAGTTAAAAGGGAGAAGATTTTATCCTGTTTGAAAATAAATTCATTTGAAGAATGAACCCTTCTGCTGCCTTTGGGTTAAAATGATTCCCAACTTTTCAGGACTTAGGCCAGGGCTATTCACTTAGCTCTGGGGGTCACAGTTACTGCAGGTCGACAGCACAGGAGCCAAACATCCAGCAATTAAAGTCATTATGTAAATAAACCAAGTATTACAAAGATCTGTTACCTTTGAAATCATTTGGAGCCCTATGATAAAAGTAGTGGTAATAAAACAATATCAAAAACAAAAAGAACACATTATGCCTCCTATTTATCACAAATATTATTTTGACATCTCTGACTTGCCAAATTTTTAAACCATTTTTATTTTCACTTTCATAATTTTATCGTCAACTGCTTGTAGTTTTAACTAGCTTGGATGTTCGTACCAGCTTCTAGCCAAGATTCTGAYGTTTCTGGAGACACCAAACATGTCTGTGTTTAACTAAAGGAACTTAGAGTAATTAAAGTAGAAAACCAGGGTTTTGGGCTTGACAGATGAATGAACCAATGGGTGGGCCAAACTTTGGTGACTCACGGGCCAGATGTGGCCCGCAGGCCACCAGTTGAATAGCCCTAACTTGGGCCTTGTGGGTTATTTTGACCCCTGGGCAGGGTTAAAGGCCCAACAGTCCTTGAAAGAATGCATATCACCCATTTCCTTTCATGCCAGAGTTTTAGACGGGAATCATTATTTTGAGAAATGATGAAGTTGTTGATGTTTTACAAAAACCTTAAAAATAACGTGCAATCTGGAAAGATATTGCTAGATGACACGTTCAGACTTTTTTTGTGTCTGTTTATATGGATTAGCTGTGACGGCCATCTTGAATTAGATTGGGTAGATGCAACGGTGTCAAGTAACGAAGTACACTTTGTTACTTTACTTCAGTAGATTTTGGTTATTTAAACTTTACTGGAGTAATTATTTTTCAGCCAACTTTTTATTTCTACTCCTTACAATTTAAAAATATAAGAAGTATTTTATTTCAGCTTCTTTCCAGCTCATCATCATTCAGAAAAAAAACTATCCAGATATACGGTGACTCCTGCATAGAGTGAATTTAATTATGGTTGGATGAGAAGTATAAATACAGTATATATCATTACAATACCCTGGTTTGTACAATACATCACACCTGTACATGACACAAATYCCATCACACTCTAGCAGGACATATCAGAAATATGTAGCCTCATATGAAGATGACCGTGGCAGAGATGTTTAAGTGTCTGAAACAGCTAGACTAGTACAACCAAAATTTCAGCCATTATTGCCCTTAGAAAAATGCTTTTGGGTGGAAGGTGGGGTTGTGCACAAGAGCCCTCTATGACACAGGCTAAGCCAGGGCTACTCAACTAAATTTCTCCGGGGGCCACAATTACTGAAGGTCAACAGCTGAGGGGCCGAACATCCAGCAATTAAAGTCATTATGTAAATAAACCAAGTATTACAAAGATCTGTTACCTTTGAAATAGTTTATTTTTGCTGTATTTAATCATGAACAAACAGAACCCTATAAAAGTAGTGATAATAAAACAACATCCAAAACAAAAAGAATACATTTTGCCTCTTGATTAACACAAATAATATTTTGACATCTCTGACTTGCCAAAATTTTAAACCAATTTTATTTTCACTTTCATCATTTTATCTTTAACTGTTTATTGTTTTAACTGTCTTGAGTGTTTATAGAAAGGATTTTTACCAGCTTGTAGCCAAGATTATGACGTTTCTGTAGATACCTAATATGTCTATGTTTAAGTAAAAGAACTTAAAGTAATTAAAGTAGAAAACTGGTGGTTTGAGCTTAAGAGATGAAAGAACAAATTGGCGGACCGAACTTTGGTCACTCGCAGGCCGGATGTGGCCCACGGGCCGCCAATTGAATAGCCCTGGGCTAAGCTTTCATTTTTAATGGATTTTTTCCCCTCGCATTGTATTTACTTTTCTTTTTTTTACTAGAAGTAGATTTAAATCCAGTACTTTTACACTTGTGTAAAAAGCTTGAGTTTATACTTTCAAAAAAACTCTTTATAAACCCCAGCATCTATACTTCTTGCCAGTTTGTGGATTGGAAATGGATCAACCGGAGACAACCTTATAAGAATTAACACATCATTTATCAAAGATTACATGTAAAACCCACTGAGCAACAGATTTGCAGATCTGGGAGACAACTAGACCGATACTTCCATTCACTCGTCCATCAGCGTCTTGTCTATGTAACTCTTGACATTTTATAGTAAAGCCTGTTTCTTGTGTTTTTTATGAGAAACATATACTGGATTTGGATGTCAACCTGTCACATATCACTCTTGTCCTCCAGTTGACTGTGTCATATTTCCCTATTTGCACAGTCCTCAGTGGCCAAGGAAAGTGGACCTTGACCCCGATCATCAAACATGGTTTTCAACCAGTTTGTCCGTGACACGTGAAACATGTCATCACCTACGGCAATTTATGTGGGATTTATTACTTATTTTTAAAAGATGTGAACAAATAATAAATTGTAGTTATTAGCAGAAGCTATAGATAAAAGTAATTGACATCGCTTCAATGCTTTTGACTTTTTTGTGTAGATGTACATCCAGTCATATTTTAAAGTGTCATTAAAATCCATCCAGTGGTTCATGAGATATTTTGGTAAGAAACAAACACACACACACACACACACACACACACACACACACACACACACACACACACACACACACACACA